TGTTAATGGGTTTGATCACATTTGGGACCTTGTTTGGTTTAATCCCTTCCCCTCTCTCTTACCTCTCGAACATGAATAAATAAATGTAATAAAAACAAAGGACTAGCAGGAGAGAGTGAAAATGTACCTAGATTGCACTGGATTGAAAATAAATCGAGACTTCTGCTTGCAGTCTATAAACATCCCACATTCAAGGTTTAAATGACACAAAAGTGGGACTGAAATATGTATGTGGCATACTTGAGATGTGCAGGACTAACAGTACACTTCCCGTTGACCAGCGAGTGTGTCGACCTAATTAGAACAGAAGGTGTTGAACATGTGACACTGAATAAAAATGTGGTAAATGTTTTTGGTACAGAATGTTTTACTCGGAGATAAAGTGGCACTCACTAAATATGCAGGTTTGCAGAACAGATTGACAAGGATGTAATGACTAACAGGGTAACAGAATGTGTCTAACGTTAGTGCTCTGACACTAAATGGAGCTCGTTCTAACAGCAAATATCCTTCTGGTGCTCAGTTACAGGAAATGTTCCCTCTCTTCTGACTGGTAGCTCTTATGCAAGGCAGCTTGCGGCAGGTTTGTGTAAACATGGTGAAAAGAGCCTGTGTGTTTGTCCCTGGGTGGGGCTCTCTAAGGGGACTGACAGAAACACACAGATTACAGCGGGTTTACTTTCAGCAGATTTAGGCTTCTAGGAGATGTTGCTGTGAACAAATATCAGGAAACTATTTGTATGTAATTGGTTCAAATCATTATATTTCCCATAGGGCTACTGTAATGATGATAATAGTGTGCCCTTGCTGTCTGTGCTGCAATTTAGATCCTTAACGACAAACCTTCTCTTGAAGAGGATTTTGTGAGCCATGCTTTGTTTCTCTCACTTTCAAATCAAAGTTTTGCAGTCGGTCAACAGAAACATATATACATGTAAGATGTTGACGTACATGGTGCAGTGACTATAAAGGAGTTCCTAATCAGCGACGATGGTGAGAGTGGAGAGATGATTTTCAGACATGTTTTAGTAAAAAAGCAGATGTATTAAGATCTTCTCAAAGGATGTGCTGTTTTAGTTGTCTCATGATAGATAAGCAGGTTTTTAAGGAAATTGTTCAACTTTTTGTGAATACCCTTATTCTTAGATGGGCTTGTGTTGCCTCTGGTTGTCTGGAAACTCACAGTGGTGACTAGACTCTAAGTCCTGGCACAAGGCCAATATATAAGCCAGCATACAACACACACAAGACCACAATTGATTGTTTTTACACTTCTGATTGTGTACGTGTGAAACAAACAAGATTTAAGAGTTTAATTAGTGAGGTTTTAGCTGCAGGAGGTCAGGTGTTGTTCCCGTTGTTCCCCCTGTTGAGCAACTCTGTAGAAAAAAACGGTTTAATTTTCAATGGAAAGTATAAAATAGGAATCATGAATGCGTTGCGTTGAACTCATTCTGTAACATTTCTTTCATCTGCCAACTCCCCCTTGAGGCTGTTTGACTGCATCCACGAGTTCAGAAAAATCTTCAAAGTCTGAAATAAAATTAGTCATCCAGTCAATTCAGCGTGAGACAGTGTGTTGAGAACAGAGGCTTTGAAATGCTGCTGGAGCTTTAGGTCGTAAGAACAAAGCTATCTGCCTCTGAGATGTAGTCAGTGTGTGTGTGTGTGTGTGTGTGTGTGCGTGCGTGCGTGTGTGCGTGTGTGTGCGTGTGTGTGCGTGTGTGCGTGCGTGTGTGTGCGTGCACGTGGGTGCGTGCGTGCGTGCGTGTAAATGAGGGTATTTGCAGTCTGTACCTTCACAGCTGTCCACGGGAGTGAGCCCCTCCCCTCTGTTGATGGACCAGCACATCTTGGTGGGAATCCCAAAGTATCCCATGACAGCCGTGTACATCCGGAACCAGCTGGCCAGGACCACCTGTGGAGTAGAGGAGGATGAGAGGCAGTTTTTAAGCCTGTTCAAACAAGTTGTTAGAAAAGCCTGTGTCCTCTCATCTCAGGAGGGAACGGACGCACAGGATTCCCAGTGAAGACCTTTCAGTGTTAAGATTGTTTCCCTGAGCAGAAACTATTTTAAATGAGTAAATAATGCAGCCTAAAATACGATTGAACTAATCATAGAGAATGCAGGGTATACAAAGAGTTGTTAAGGGTGTAAAACAAGACCTAATTTAAATTCTGATGGCACACAGGATGATATTGTCAAGAATCACCTTTAAAGAAAAGAAAAAAGGAAAGGCTGAAGCTAAATGTCAGCATTGCCCATGATGAAAGCTACTGCCGTTAGGACTACACTCATTATTTAAATGTTATGCAAATCACAATGTGGATTAATGCACAGACAGAGCAATGTTTGGTAAAGGCAAAATATGTGAAAATATCTTAAGGAAGTTGTGCTGCAGAAAAGTCAGTATTCCAGAGACTTAATAAAAATCCTTTTCAGATAAAAAACTAAATCTCACCGTGATCATTTAAATATTGTTTTCAAATGTACGTTTTGATTTGTTTTAATTCCCCATGTTAATCATACAGCAATTGCATTATCAGTTAGAATTGCAAATAGTTCTTTTTTCCAAATTGTGCAGCCCGATGCGCCAATATCACCAGTAATAACATGTAAAAAGCCAGTTTGAAGTCTGATAAATAAACATTTCTGAACACTATGATGAGTAATCCCATCATACACTACAGAGCGTATGAACAGCATGCCAGAATGAGCATTACCTCTGGGTACAGATTGAATCTCTGCAGCGTGTTAATAACCAGAGGGTGCTCTGTCAGCCGATCATTCATCACCATGTGGAGGCCATCCAGGAAAGAGGGAGCTTCTATAATGGTCTTATAGTAGGAATAATACAGACCCTGGAACCAAATGAAGATACATACACATGATTAGACACAAGCAGAGCGACTGAGAAAGAGATTTTCAATAGAAAAGTCAAGGCAGAGCGATGGAGAAGAGGAACAAAGAGATGTTTAAAGAGTGAGAGTGATACAGAGGGAAGGAGACGGCAGACAAACGCTAAAAATAACTTCACAACCTTCAAGTCAGACGGAAGGAACCGGAGCGAGCTCTACAGGCGCAGCAGATGGAAACGGTTCACAGCCCATCTAGTAGCACACAGCAGGGGTGAGTGGGGAGAAATCTTCTGTTTGCATAATGATAAACTCTTCACCTTCACTGCCATCGCTCAGAAAGGGGTACGAACGCTGCGCTGCATGTTGAATATCAGCCACTCTTGCAGTTCTAGTGATGAACATGTGCTGCCTTAAACCACACGTATCTACTCACTTAACCCTTGAGTGGCACGATTTAGCAAATGAATTAACATGTTTGCATATTGTTAGAATGTCAGTTTGGATGGTGAAGTTCAATGTTGTTTATAAAACTGTGGGAGCAAATGCTGCTTTTCTCTGAATGTGCAGATGGTTTGGAGTCAGTTTGGTCACGTTACACTTCTGCCTTGATTATTCATTTTGTTTTGCCAACTGACTTTAACTGAAACTTGTTAAACTAACACATTCAAGACTGCTTTCACCTTTCTGATTGCTGCGCCAACTCTGGCAGATTTGCAGGGCATAGTCCATCTTTGCTTCTGTCAAATAGAAACACTGTGCATGGAAACGCCAATACCCTTCAGTCTATTGCTGTGTTATCACCAACACAATGCCAGAATACAAACTGCAGCATTGCTCAATCTCTGCTTGATTTTTAATGTCTAACCCACATAAGAAAGACATCCCATCTTATTTACAACAGAGCAATTTAGTTGAAGAAGGCTTATATTGCAGTACCGCTATGGTGGATGATGCTAACAATCTAATTTATTTTACCATTACTTTCTGCTTAGTTCTTTATTTATTAAATCACCTAATCCTTTGGGAAATCACGTTGTTAAAGATAGTGAAAGACACCTGTAAGAGCTGTCCCTGAAATACTTATTTTGTCCTACAGTCCAAAAATAAAATACATCTGTAATCACATTGTGAGAAAAGGTAAATAAGTGATTTAGAATTGTAGCAAATTCATTTTCTGTCAGTTGTCTAATAGATTATTGGGTTCAGCTCTAATGTTGAAAACACTGTTGTCTATTGTTCCTTTTAGTAAATAAAGGCACCTCATGTCATCATGGCTCATCTTAGGCATCATATCATATGTTAATGATAAGAATGATATACAGATGCAAAGGAGGTAGACACACCTGGACATCTAACGGACTCATTATATCACAGTTGCTGCCAAATAGAAAGCAGAATATTATCTTATCGTTCCAAAAGTATATTGATAAAGTAGGTCTATCTGTTTTTTCTGTTATAAGAGTGATACAAGTTCTATGCAAGTGTCAAATTAGCAGAAAATCTCAGCGTATAAAGTGAAAGGATTAGTTGATTTATTGATTGGTGGTCTAACCACAAAGACATTGGTCTGCAACCATTCTTACGATCAATGAATAACACGAGTCATTTGTCAAGGACGAGTGCTAAACACTTCCTGGTTCCAGCTTCTCAAATATCAGAATGTACTGCTTTTCTTTGTTTTAAATGATTGCAAATTCAATCGCTTCGGGTTAAGGACTGTTGGTCGGACAAACAAGACATTTAAAGATGTCCAATGGCATTGAATGGCATTAACTTGTTGTTTAAGTTGTTTTGCAATCAATCAGCCGATAAGTCTCAAAATAGTTTTACCAAATGAGAATACAAGTAATTGTTAGTTGCAGTCCTGCTGTGACACGATTTGCATACAACCCCATACGTTATGCACCAGCAATTACACTTGTACCTGTACTGTCTCACAACAGGACATAGTGGCAACTGCTTCAAAACAATGTTATTAGTATATCCATAACAATAAAACCACAACAACAGTAATCAATTTACCATTTCTGTCCGGAAAGCCATTTCTTTCTCCAGGTTTGACAAGTGTGAAAAGTGTCTGTCATTCTCAAACAGCTGTGAGAGATGATGCCTGATGACAGCAGGAGAAACATGTGAGCCAAGAGCTGAATCCACAAGTAAACACAGCAGTAATGTGTGAGCAATAACATGATAATAGTGAAACTTACCAGTGGAGATACCCAGTCAGAGCAGCTGTGGACAGAGAGAATCAACTGTAAATACTGCTTAACAAAAATGTGTACTTTACTTGAGTATTTCCATTTTGTGCAACTTTGTACTTCTACCCCACTACAATTCAGAGGTAAATAGTATACCTTATCTCCACGAGATGTATTTTATATGTTGAATTACTTTGCACATATTGATTAATAATGTGAAATATAATCAAAACTTAAAAAGGATTATAGTTACACTTTGAGTCACTTTCGAAAGCTACCCTACAGTATACAAAGTGCATACAACCAAGTACACCTTTACCAGTTTTGATACTACTTTAATCCATCAATAATTATAATAAAAACATATATTATTCTGGATGGGTCAATCTGCATAATGAGTACTTTTACTTTTGGCACTTTAGGTATATTTTGATGCTAACACTTTTGTGCTTTTACTTGAGTAACATTGGATTCAGGAAGTTTACTTGTAACAAACAGAGTATTCCTACACTCTGGTACTTCCACTTTTACCTAATTACTATTATCTAAGTACTTCTTGCATCTCTAAGGGTGGGTGAGTTGGATAATAACATGTGTGGCTGCTGCGGTGAATTCATAAGATAACCCATAAAAAACATTAGCTTTAACTTTTGCAAGAAAACCTGTTAACACGGCTGCAAGTACCAGGCAGATAGTAACACTTTTATATTCATTAATAATAGCAACAATAGGTGGCTAATGCTCCTGAGCTAGCTTCTATGTGCTAACATTAGCCAACTAATCAGCGGCGGAGATAACTTAATTTACCCGCTAATGCTACTGTTATACACATAACGTTAGCAGCCGTTAGCTTGGGGGTCCACGGAGAAGCTAGCAGGCTAACTCACCGAGAAGAAGAGTGACACCCAGCTTCCCGACTGCAGAAGTAGTTAGCCCCAGCTTGTGTCTGATGAGCCCGTTAGGATGGGAGCCGTTGAAAGCTTTGCCTGCTCGCCTGCCGTTACTTTTGGCAGGAGGCGAAACAAGCGGGCTCCGGTCAGCCTGGGTCGTTGGACTCTTTCCAGTCTGTTTTCTGTTTTTAGCCACCATGGTTTCGCCAGGGAAGAGCCACGGAGGCGAGAATCCGAGGAGAATAACAAAAAAAAAACCGAGGGGTGTGAGCTAAGCAGCCCCTCAATGATATCTGGTCCGCGGATCTGCCCCTTCACTACCTGCTGCCTGATGCTTTCACTGGTTCCTCCTTCACATCTGATGAAGCTCCGCCCCCTGCCGGCCGTATGTCGCAACTACAAGGAGCTTCTGCTTGTAACCATGACAACAACAAGCAGCGGGTACCATACTGTTTACCAGATTGTTCAAAACAAACAAACACACACACACACACACACACACACACACACACACACACACACACACACACACACACACACACACACACACACACACACACACACACTGGGCGCGTTTCACTTTTATCCGTTCCTTCAGTCACACGTTCACATCTCCTCCTCAGACTGATCCTACTTTCAACTAAAACCTCCTGCAGACCACGTTCTTCTGAAAGAGAAGGAAACATGTGAGAACCAGGAACATTATTTAGAGAACTTGATGATAACGATAAACAGAAAAAATAAAGAAAGGGTTCAAAATTATTCTCTCTGCTGTAATAAAAAAAAACAGGAAGAATCCTGATATCAGACATGAAGACAGCATCACACAGATGTACAGACTTACTTTGTAGAGTTGGGGAGAGGAGTCTCCTGATGGAGGTTGCTGCTCCCTGAGGTGATGCACTGTCTGCAGAACCTGTGTCCACAGCTGGTAGAGACTGGATCCTTCAGGAAGTCCTGACACAGAGCACAGCTGGACAGCTGCTCCTCCACAGGAACAGGACTCTTCCCTCTGAGGCAGGGCCGTGGGAAGTAGGGGTGCTGAGGGTGCTGCAGCACCCCCTGGTGGAGGACAGGGGATCTGCACTTCTACAAGATATAATACAATAAAAACGAATTTTCAGCCTTGATGTAACAAAATTCATAATTAAGTAAAGATAACACCCTTTTCACCCCGGTTAAATTTCCATTTGCTCTGTACGATGGGCGCTGTAGTGATGAAAGTGGGGGGTGTTGGCTTATCAGGCGCCCGCAGCTCACAGCCAAAGTGAGAGAGATAGAGAGAGGGGGTGCACCGGTGCCGGCGGAGATTGTTGTTAGCTTCTGCTGCGCTAACGGATATAAGAAGCTGTTTCTACAATAATGTGGAGGGAGAGTTCTGTCCTGTCAGACTGAGAGGCTCAGTGAAGTAAAGGACTCTGAGGGTTTAGATAGTTCACTTTAGTCTAAGTTATCTCAGTGGGTCTCAAACGTTTTGATCACAATTTATGTAAGCAAATATTTCAAAAGGACACCTTTATAATTATTAGGATAAATAAAAACAGGTTTGAAATCATTCCAATGTATACTATAGGACAGTAAACCAACAAAATTGTTTA